TGCTGCTGTTGCTGCTGCTGTTGCTGCTGCGCAGCTACCACCGGGCTCACGTCGCTCATCTTGCCGGGCTGCAGGCTGCTGGAGGGGGGGCTGAAGCGCCGGCTGGTGCTCGGATCTACGGGAATACGCATCACAACAGCCACAAGTTAGCGAAGTGGCCGGGGGAGGGGGAGGAGGGTGGAAATGGGGGGCGAGGAGGAGGAAATTGAGGGGGTGGAGGCGAGACCGGGGGAAAGAGGATGGAGGTGACGGGACTGAAGAGGTGAGAAATCAAGTTCGAGGAAGCCAACTGCCGGGCGGAGTCTGATGGGGGCCCGGCGGCCCGCGCGCGACCAGGCACTGTCGGGTTGACGGGTGGGGACACCCGGGAGGCGCAGATCTCCGCCCGGAGGCTTGGGAGCCCCGGCGGTGGCAGCTGCGAGAGGGGCGCGGGGGCGTGTTTGGCCCAGCAGAGGCAAGGGACTTGGAGTTAGCAGCTTGCAGCGGGGGGGCCCCTTGGGGCACAGCGTCCTGGGTGCACTGGCGCCCCTCCTCCCTGGTCCAGTCCGGTAGTGGAGCCCAGGCAGGTTCAGCAATCCATCTCGGCGGTCCGTGTGGCCCCGCGCTGCCCGCCACCGCCAAGCCGAGCGCCGCTGCCCAGCTTCTGGCGCCGCCGCCTGCCCGCGCCTCCTCCTCCTCCTCCGCCTCTGAGGCCGCTGCGCGCTCCCCACGCCGGCTGCGCGCTCCGAGTCCTCCCGCCGGCCGCTCCTTCCTCTCCCCGCTTCTCCTCTCGCTCTCTCACGCGCCGCCGCCTCGCAGCCACGTCCCTCTTGCGCTTTGCCAAGTGCCCCTGGCCCCCTCGCGCTTCGAGGTGCCGGGAGGTAAGTGGAGGGCAGCGGATCTCGGGGCGACGGATCTGGAGCCTGCGGATCGCAGCCGCTGCCGCCGCCCGCCGGCCGCGAGAAGCCGCGGCACGCTCGCCGAAGCTGGAGGGAGGCGGTCCCCGCCTAGGGCACAGATCGGTGCCTGCTCCTTCAGCTCCCCCCCGCACCCCCAGGACCAGGAACCCCTTCTTAGTCTGACCACGCTGAAATTGAGAAGCCGGAGAGCCGCGGGCTGCTCCCGCTGTCGTTGTTTTTCGCTGTAACTTCAAAAGAGGAGGGAGGAAAAATTCTCAAGTCCCTTCGTTGACGTCTGGACACTCTTCACCCTCCCCCACCACCCCACCCTACCTCGGCTGGAGGGGGTGGGAGGCAGGTTTTTACAGGATTCGGGGTTGGGTTTTTTTTCCCCTTTAGGTGACACCAAAAATATGGGTGACAGGAGGGCCTGTCAAAATAGTTCTAGAAACTCAAGTGGATGCCTGGACACTTTTTTCTTATATATTCATTCTTGTCATTCCTGGAGAATAAAGATGGGTTGCTTTTTAAAAAAAAAAAAAACTGAAAAAAAATGACAACTTGGTAATTAAAATAAGTTGTAAGTTGCAAACACGCTTGCCGAGAGGGGAAAAAAAAAAATAAACAGCGGTTATACGTGAATTTTCAATCTTTTATTAAGTCTCCGGCTCAGACTATCTAGTGGCTTAACGTTCTTCCTCACCACCATCGGGGGGGGGAGCTAAAAATAAGTAAAAAATGCTTCAGAAATTATTTATTTATGTATTTGTTTCCGGCATGTTTTTAAAGGCGATTTTGGAATCCCCAAAAGGTTGTGGTCGAGAGATGGAGGAGTGCGGAAAAAAAGCGGGCGTTTTTACCTAAAATGTGGTTTTTGGAGGCTGGGATTTCTAATGATTAGGTTTTTGTGGTTTATATAGACACGACTCAAGCTAAAGCGATCATTAAGCTGATGGGAGACAGAAGCACGTGGGTGTCTCCGACCAGCCTCAAATTCTGAGCCTTCAAAACAAATCAAACAATGTGCGGCGCCCACAGAAGCCGGGAAATCCGCTGGAGGCTGCTACACCCCACGAACTAGGCAGGAGCAACGTCGGGCCGGTTCACCTCTCGCGTGATGTTCTGTTTTATGTCTTATTTAACCGATTATTTTAAAACTTCCAAAGTTTCCAAATAGAATCATTTGCCAAAGTCCGGATGATTCCTAACAAGGTAGTTGACAAGGTTGCAACTTCGTGCAATCAATGAAACACTGGAGTCCTCCGTTGAAGGACTGAGGTAGACGGATAGCTGGGTACCCTGCCTCCTCTCCTGTCTTATTTAAAGCTCTTCACACAGCCATTAATTAGAACTTTTATTGCTGGGTGCAAATGCTTCCTTCCCAAGTTCTGCAAGAGACATGTCACGACCCTCCCTATCGTTTTTTAAAGCGCAGCCGCCACCCTCTAACCCCGCGCGCCCATAGTGCTGGGGAAAAGTACCCGGGGGAAAAAGAGGTTTGCCGGACTCACGAGCCTGGCAAGCACAAGATAAGCATGGATCTCTGTGCTCAGGCGACTTGGGGTCCTGTGTTCCCGTGCCTGAGAGGTGTGCTGGGGTCTGAGGAGAGGACGGATGAGAGTGACTGTGCCCTCTCACGAACCGGACGTGGGGATGGAACTGGAGGACACCACTGTGCCCTTCCTCTTTTGTATCATTTCTGCCTTCCCTTTCTGCCTGCTCCACTTACAACTCTGCCCCCCGCCTCGTCCATCTTTCCTTTTCTCTTGCATGCTCTATCCGGATTCTTCCCTCTAGTCTTCCCTCAGACTCGAGCCGCCTCCCCGCGCCTCTCAGTCTCCATCTTCTGCCACCGCCTGCTCCCCAACGCCACAGAAAAGCAATTCTGCGCCACCAACAGTAACAACTAGCCCACACCCTACTCCCCGCAGCTGGTGGCCCCCATGCCCTTAGCGCTCCGCTCCAGGACCACTGGGGCCACTTATCCCATCGCAGGACAGGCGCAGCGAGTTGCCGAGCCGTCTCCTAAGGGTGCTACTTTTAATAATCTTTTTGATCACAGGGGAGAGCTCTAACCCTGAATACAGCTACACCACCACGTGCGCGCGCTAGTCTCCCCATCCATAAATGCCAGCTCCGTCAAGGAAGCCAGGCTCCCTTCCCCAACTGAGAGACTGCACCCACCACCCACCTTCCTTACACACTCACTTGTATTCTCACACACTCACACACTGACATCGTGACACAATTACACGCATGCCCGTCCTGCCTTTGGTGGAGCGGTTCTTTGGGGGCACATCTAACGGAGATGGTTTGATTTCCTTACTCCTCTCTCTAAGTGTCTGGGGACTACGGAAGAGGGGAGGAGCCACGGGGAAAGAAGCGATTCTGTAGTCACAGAGAGATAGAAAGTCATTGGGAGGTGATACTGCGTCCTGCCCCCCAGGAAACCCTCAGAACAGGGAACTTCCAGAAACTGACACACACCGAGAAGCAGTCCATACATCAAATGGAGGCTCTCAGAGGGGGTGCTTTTCAACAAGAATTCTAGGGTCGTTTGAATCTAAGAAATCCTGTCTTGGGGACCCTTTCTTTCCCACCATTGCTGGTTAGCCGACGCCACCTTTTTTTTTTTTTAACTTGATGGATAATGAGACAAGCAGGCCTCAATGGTTGGGGATTTTAAGGACAATTTAATCAATGGTGAGATTATTTATTTTAATTAATCATATCCGGTAATTCAGCTTTATAGCCTTCCTGGGCATCCTCCCTCCATTAAACATTTCAGTAGAACTAATGTAAGCAGCTCTTGGAAGTTCCCAGTCTTGGATCCCTTAAAATATCCTACAGTTATTTATAATGTGGAAATGAAATTTTCCACCGAATGCCCTAACAACGGCTCAGGTATCTGGCACAGCGGATGGATTTCAGTCCCCTTTCAAAAAACACACTCTCAGCTGGAACTGATGGACCCTGGAACCGGCAGGTCTTGGCTCTGAGCACTCAACTTCAAGTAGGAAACATTTCCACAGCCCCTTCACCCAAACTTCCCCTAACAGTAAGCGCAGAGGGAAATCCTGCGCCTTTGGTTAGGTGTCATTGCTGCTGTGGAATGCTTGATCTTACTCCTTGGCTTAGATTTTTCTTCTACAGGAAAATGTTCCAGGCAGGGACCGAGAGCACAGCTCATTCAGTAAATGCTTCCTGCAGGAGCATGAGGTCCTGAACCAAATGCCTCACTCCTCTCCTAAAGCAGCAGAGTCAGGCGGTGTGTTTGAAATCTGGTGCTGGGAAGGCCAGACCGACTAATCCCTGGGCTGGGCTGCCCAGACAACCTAGCCTACTCAAGGGGCTCCCAGGCCAGTGAAAGCCTGTCCCAGAAGACAAGGTGGACTTCATGTGAGTATGACCTCTGGCTTCCATAGGCGCGCATGTACCCACACATACATCCTACATGTGCACGAATTCTAAGCAAATCACCCACTGGGTTCCTCTTCAGAATCATTCTTTTTGGTTGTATGTTACAGTGCTAAAAAATACATTTTTCCCCTGAGGATTTAACTACTCAGAAAGATGCAGCACAGCCTGCCCTCACAGCCGTGTCCTTTAATGTTTGATTTAACTGTTAAGTGGCAATACCTGGCCATTCTAACTTCCAAAGAAAGAGGGATGTTAAAACAGTCTTTCTTTTCTTTCCTTTCCTTTTCTTTTTTTTTTTCCCCTTTTCTTTTTGGCCAGAGAGAAATGAACTCCCAAACCAAGGACAGAATTCAGGCTTCTTTCACTTTGGTTTCTCATCCCTAGCCCCTTCTGCATTATTTTGTATACTTTCTTTTTTTTCATGATGAAAAGTGGAGAAAGTCCCTGTAAAAACTTAAAATACTTTCCCATGAACCAGCTAATGAAGTAGTATAGCCAAGGGAAAAGTAAGACCATCCTGAGCTCTCTGAAGGTGTGTGTGTGTGTGTGTGTGTGTGTGTGTGTGTGTGTGTGTGTGTGTGTGACGGGACTTTATAAGCAGAAAGATCTGTGGAGACTTTCTTTGGGGTTTGACTGGATGAGGTTAGCCTGGAGAGCGATCACGGCCACCAAACCAACAGTTACCATATCATAAATCTGGCCTAATGACTCCTTTTGTGCGGCCTCCAGGCTGTAGCGTTCATGTGACTCTGTATGCATGTTTGCATATTCGTGGGCACACCACGTAGGTGCATGTGAGTGGATTTGCATATAGAGG